CTTTAGAGAAATGACTCATGATTTTATTTACTCTAAGAAAAAAAAATTTTTTTTTGAGACAGCTCCTCAAGCTGTCCCCCTGGGTAGAGTGCTATGACATCACAGCTCACAGCAACCTCCAACTCCTGGGCTCAAGCAAGTCTCCTGCCTCAGCCTCCCAAGTAGCTGGGACCAGAGACACTCACCACAATGCCCGGCTATTTTTTGGTTGCAGCCATCATTGTTGTTTGGTGGCCCAGGCTGGACTCGAACTCACCCCCTTAGGTGTATGTGGCTGGCGCCTTAGCCACTTGAGCCACAGGCACCGAGCCTTAGGAAATATTTTAATTTGATAAAATGCAATGCATTTTTGAGATGGGGAGGACACAGCGAAGGTAATGCCGTTTTTAAATAGTTAATTAATTGCACATGTAGTTTTGAATATTTTATCTTAGTATTTTGGAGTGCATTGTTTTTGAGAATTTTCCTGGCACCCAGACTGCTTGTTCCACCCAGAGGCAAACGCAGCTTTTTCTTTATTGTTTTCTGTTACCATTAGTTTATTTGTGTGACCTTTTTTTTCCCCCCAGTGGAAGAGTACTCCCCTTAAATTTTCATTTATTATTGTGGCGAGTTTTATAAAGATGGAACATTGCAAAAGATTGTGCTTTATTGATTGGTAGAGTTGATGCAGGACTATCAAGCAGTATGTTGAAGTATTAAATTAAATATTCTTCCTCTCTGTCCTGCTTCAATCCCATCTTGGAGGTTAAAGGTCATTACACAAATGAAATGATAAATCCAGTTTACAGAGTTTTCCTGTAGATGTTGAACTGCTTTTTGCTTATTACGTCTGAATAAAACTCATTATCTATTTTGTTTCAGTAATAATTACAAGATTCCCTCCTCACCAATTCTTGACTATTTTCATTTTTCTCCATCTTATAGAATACTCTGGAAAGGCAAGCATATAAATGTGATAAAAGAATTAAGCTGTTGAAATAAATTAATTTATTGTGCGACAATGTATTCAAATCTTAGTTGCTCAATGGATTTTACTTTAATGAAATTCTTCAAAGAACAATACATCATGTTCCAAACATTGAAATTATACATTAAATGAAATGACTGAATATGTTGTATTTCATTTTATAGAAAGTTTCAATGGAATCGTTAAGCTTCCAGATCATACAATTTGCATAAATTAAAATATTTTTTTCTTTAAATGACAGTATTAGGTACTGTCCTTGTATCTTCTGTTCTTAAACACAGAACTACAATTAAAGTAAAAGTAAACAAAAGCTCAGTACTACAATTGTATCTGTACTTACTAAGCCTTAAATTATGCTTTTAAAAATATAGTTTACGTGAACATTTTAATTGATTTTTACTTAGCTTATTATGTGATATTTATTTTGAACATATAAATAATTTCATGAATAATCCATAAACTAAAGGAATCACTACAGAAAATTTGACCAATATAATGGCTAATGACCTATTTTTCTACTTAGGTGGAAAATGGTAAAATAAACAAGGAATTATTTTTTAATAGCAAAACCATTATTGCTGGAGTTTTATGCTTACTTTAAATATTGAAGCATTTTATTAGTTAAATATCTCTGCAAATATCTCTCCATTTGGCTACTAAGTAATCTAGTGTGGCAGAGAACTCAAACATGTGAAATGATTTAAGAGGGATTGACTTATTTCAAGATTGTACTTTATCTCTGTGCGGCCACACTCATGCCTTTGCGTGGTCACTAACATAATTATTAAGAAACATATTAAAATGTATTGATGGATACACATCAGTGTGAGGGACCTTTGAATAAAATAGAGTGGTTGATTTAGAAAATTCTATTCATATAAAAATATAGTGATGCTCTTTCTGTGTATTTCTGTGCAATACAAATGTTAATGGATATATCAGGAATTGCTCTATAGAGTAGACAGACTGTATGCCCCTGTATCAGAATTTTAAGAAATCAAGGTTAGACCCTTAAGAGTGTATCCATGGTCATGTATGCAGTTAGGTACAGTATAGCTTCTTAAAGCATTTATACAGATTATATAGAGTTCTGCTATATTTTTTTATAAATCTATACCCTATTGTAAATGCACAAATACTCTAGCAAACATGGAATTTCATCTCTGAGTGCTGTGAACTTGTCCAGATTATCCTTGGATGTGTGATTTCAAGATTGGATGTGAGCCCTCGTGCCACTTGACACTGCTTCATAGTTCAGGGTAGGAATAAGTGTTAAGAAGAGGATTTTAATCCCAAATGCCTTAAATCATAGTTGAATAACAGGAAGTAACTTTGGGCATCCAGATTGGATTTTCTGTTCTTTTAAGTGATATTGGAGTGTTTTTTTTTTTTTCTTAAAAGTTGAGGCCATTTATTTGCGGTGTGGGCTGTAGACCAGATACATGAGGAAGCGCGACTTGCTTCGTTTATTTAGTTTGGCATCTGAATGAAAATCTGTTCATTTCTCACGATGAGATACAGATGTTTCAAATATTTTCATCTGTAATGTATGAAGGTGGAGGCCATCTTTCTGTAGTGTCCTAGGATGTGACAAATGCATGATAGGCAGAATCCAGGTGGGGGTTCTGTATGTGTTTCCCTCTTGTCTTGATTCCCTGGTTGGCTTCCTTACGGTCTTTCAAGTAGAGCCCCATGTGACTTGAGGGGGAAAATATATTGTGTGTGTTTACATTTACCTCTGTATCAGTCAATTTTGCTATTTGCAGAAAATAGGGAACTTAATTCTTTTTTTTTTTTTTTGCAGTTTTTTGGCTGGGGCTGGGTTTGAACCTGCCATCTCCAGCATATGGGGCCGGCACCCTACTCCTCTGAGCCACAGGTGCCACCCGGGGAACTTAATTCTTAACCTCTGATGAATTAATGAAAAGGGCTAATGCTTTTTAGTGTAACACTGACAGTACCTCTGTCCTTTGGTGGGAGAATTCGTTGTCTCTCACAGGGGCCAATCCACACACCACAGACTGGTCCCAGAGTTCCTAAGGTGCAACAGGTTATCCGACGAGAAGATCCAAATAGGCACTGAAACTTTTGAAAGAAGATTTAGTTGATGTTTTTCCCACTTTTTCTTTATTTCATGGAGTATATTTAAGGAAACTATTTATGACATACATTTGAGAGAAGGACTTGGCCATGTTTTCTAGTTATTTTTATTTTATTTGTCATAACCCTTAAAAATGAAGCCTCAGGATATCTGTTGAAATGTTTATTAATAAGGGACGGTATTGAAAAATTAAAAGGGTTTGACAAAAGTGATGCTCAGTCTCAGCTGCACGTTCAGATCACCAGGAAGGTCTTTAAATCTTCTGAACTCTGGGCCCCATGTCAGCCCTAGTGGATGTAGGCATATGTGCTTCCAAGGACCACAACTAGATGGTTTAATGCAATAGAAACTTATTTTCTCAAGCTATTGGAGTCTACAAGTTCAAATCAAGATGTCAGCAAGGCCATGTGCCCTCTGAGATTCCAAACAAAATCTGTCCTTGCTTCTCTGTAGCTTCTGGTGGGGGCTGGAATCCTTGATACTCCTTGGCTGGCAGCTACATAACGTCAGTCTGTGCCTCCAGCTTTGTGACGTTCACCCTCCTGTCTTCACAGCTTCTTTGTATAAGGACACTAGTCATGCTGGGTTAAGAGCCAGCCTACTCTAGTAGGACCTCTTCTTAAGTACAATACTTACATCTGCCAAAGACCCCGTTTCCAAATAAATTCATATTCACAGGTACCAGAGGGAGGACTTCAGCATATCTGGTTTGCAGACAGAATTGAGCCATAACATTCAGTAAATCCGAATCTCTGGGAGTGAAGCCCAGGCCTAGGCCCATTGAGGAACTTGGCAGGTGATTCTGAAGCTCACGAGGATTTCAGCCCATAGTGAGGCTCATGGAATCACTTTGCCCAGAGATGTGCATTGTCCTCGTTTCGTGGATAGTACAAAACCTTGAGCCTCTCCTTTGTTTTCTGTGTTAAGTTAACCATTGACAATTTGGGAACATTAGCCTCCTGTAGATCAATTACATTTTAGAAACTTTCTTCTCTTCTAAATTTGCATCTTTCACCCAGATAAGTAAGAATGTATTTATAATTTATTATGTAGACATTTACTTCTACAGTTTTAAATATTTATTAGTGTAAAGACTGTTCATCAAGACCTATGTCTGTTAATATCTGAAGGTATAAATATCTTGGTACTCAAAGTAGAATATGTTAGCAGAAGGATACCTTCTTTCTTAATCTGTGTGTCCATTTATAATAGTGCATTGGAGACATTTATACAAGATACTTGCAGGTTAATCTAATGGGGAAGGTACAGTTTAGCCAGTGGGGAGCTGTGAAGTAGATTGTGTTAAGGTAATATGTGGAAACATGATACCAAATGTCTCTGGACACAACTGATACACATTTCATGAATTCACCCTTAATACGTTTGTATGGTTGAACTGTAGGTAGGGGTGGGAGGTACCTAAAAATTATTTAAATCAAAGAAGAGTATTCCAGTGTTCAATAATAACGAGTTTCCGTGATGCCTGAGCATGCGACCCTCTCTCTGCATCTGTCCAGAGCACAGCCGTGATGAGGTAGCTGTTAACTTCTCTGGTGTTCTTATCATCACTCATATTGACAATTTGTGTACTATTGCCAGACACAAAGAATATACACTCAGAGATTTTTGCAAAATAATAAGAACCTAGAATTTAATCTTGCTTTGTTTTCACTGTTTGTTATTTAATGGGTTCTTAATTTGATGTTTTGGGGTGTATTCTTTGGGCTCATTTTTGGTCCAAAAAAGGGGGTTGACATTGGTCTTTCTCTAACTGGCTTTGGTCAAGATGTCTTCAGTACAGTTAAATGCTAATGAAATGATGTGTTTATTCTGTTCACATTTCTTACTGTACTAAGAAAAAAATCAATGTTCATTAAGCACAGACCCATTGAATCTACCTCTTTTCTCCCCTCCCCCGTGGTGGTGCAGGAGCGTGTTCCCGACAGCCCCTCGCCTGCCCCCTCTCTGGAGGAGGGCCGGAGGCCTGGCAGTCACCCCTCATCCCATCGCAGCAGCAGCGTGTCCAGCTCCCCCGCACGGACTGAGAGCTCGTCTGACAGAATCCGTAGGTCTCATACTTTCACTTGTCACCATTTTAAACTTTATTAGGTGCAGCTGGCTTTTCTAATCAAAATGCCCTCATTCCAAATAGATCTCAGATGTATCATGTTCTGAGGCCCCGTTGCAATAGCCATCTCTCAAAATTATGTCCCCCAGTTTGCAATATCATGAGGTATGATGCTACATTAACAGGTTCTGATATAAACTCCCTCTCTCAGATGCCACACATCAAGACAAGAGCTAGGAAACAGAGAGAGTAAGTACCCGTCTAGATTCGTTTCTAAACTGAGCACAACCAGTGCTCACATACCTAATGTCTACGGGTACTGTTTATGGATTATTCAATGTTGTTCTTTGAACCCCACATCTACCTTTTTGTAATTCCCTGGTTTTTAAGATTCATTATTGCATTAATGAGTATATCCAGAGAGAGGCATAAATCGAATACATAAATAAATCAAAAAATATTTCTCAGTCATGCAGACGATAATGGACTGAAAAATGTGTAATTGAACAAATCGTAGGATTTGAATCAGTACCAATCAATAATGTGTATTCTTGTTATATGTTATTAAAAGGTAAAAAGTAGGACTGTATTTTATTTCATTTTATGTCCATAATGTATAATCTTGGTCCTCAGGAGTAAAGTTAAAATGCTATTCAGTTAATAGATGATTTAGCAAAGAATCTAAGATTATTTTTCCATTAAATATATTATAAAAGAAGACCTTGGTTGATAAAAACCAAAATTTATTGTAGTATTTCTAGAGTTTAGTTATTACTTTATGATATCATGTTTATAGTGTAAATATTATCTAATTACACAAACTTTACTTGAGCTATTTTGCTGTCCATCGTATTTTCATCAGAGGAAAACATTTCCTAGGCAATGTCCTTATAGGTGATGAAGGAATGTTTGTATAAAGCAAAAATTCTTAGTCTTACAGCTATTGAAGTGTAGAATTTAATGATTATATTAAGATTCATGTCATAAAATTATAAATAAAAAATAGTTCTTGGCAATTATGTCCTTTGACATAATTTATCAAATATAAAAGTTTGACTTGGCATGGCTAAAACATATTCTCTTAATTTTATGAACTACCTCAAAAAAATTCAGATGTAATTTTCCACATGCTTTAATGCTATGCTGACAATAGAATCAGAAATTTGATAGTGAATATTGATTTTCACTATTGTGAAATATTGATTTTTACTATTGTAACATTTTTTAAGATGTTGCCATCAGAAAGGTTCTGGCCTTATAGAGAAAAAAATATATTTCTTCATAATACCTAATGGAAATGCTAGATTGGGGAAGATTTGAAAAAGTTTTGGTCTATATTCATATTATTTTATTAATTATTATATTCCTTTTTATTCTTCATTGAAACAGAGGAGGCATTTTTGCATGCCTGGGCTAACGTAATTGCTGAAATGAAAGTATATACATATGCACATATATGCACATATATGTAGTATTTAATTTTAATGACATTCAAAAAAAATTGTGCCGACAATTTTCAAATATCATGTAGGTAATTCTTACTCATCATGATTCCTGTAATCAATGAATGAAGCAATCTCTCTGAAAGAGATATCTCCATAAAGGCAAAATATCCCCTCGTGCCTTTGTCATACAAATAATGTTTCTTTACCTAAATTCTTCACTGATTATTTTATAGAAACAAGTAATTTTATTGTATTTAAATACAGAAAAATGGATCAAAATTAGGGAAATCACATTCTTATAGTACTAAAATCTGAACTGTAGCCTTTCGTACTATAAATTTAGAATTCAAATTTCACCAGTGTTCTCATTAATTTTTTAAAATTTTAAACTGTTCCTTTTTTACTTATAACTAAAGCCCATTCAGGATGGCACATAAGTTGTATCCTCTTCATTTTTTTTCATCTGGATCAGTTCCTGCGTCCTTTTTGTCTTTCTGTACCTTAACATTCTTCAGAGTGCAGGCCATTGATTTTGTAGAATGCTCCTCAGTTTGGATTTTTTCTGTGTTTCCTCTTGATTAGGTTTAAGTTATAGATTTTGAGAGGAATCACACAGCTGTGATGGGGTATCCTTCTCAGTGAATCATTTCAGAAGACATATTTTTATAAAACCAGTGATAACTTTATCACTGTAGTAAGTTGATTACTGCCACAAAGCTACTTTAAAAAAAACAAAAACAAAAACAAAAAAGCTTATGGATCCTAAGTATCTTGTGAGGCTGCAGAAATATTCCAGACTTCATCAAAAATTTAAATTTAGACCATTCTATGATGTTTGCTTTGTGTCCAAAAGAATTGCTTCAATTTATTTGAAACTTACTTGTGTGCTATGATGTTTTTGCGTTTATTGTTTTGTTTTGGGCTTAACAGCTGTCCATCAGAATGGGTTGTCCATGAACCAGATGCTAATGGGCTTATCACCAAATGTACTCCCTGGGCCCAAAGAGGGAGACTTGGCTGGTCATGACATGGGACATGAGTCGAAAAGGATGCATATCGAAAAAGGTAACATGTGATGACGTGGCCTTGTTTTTCTGTTTAATTTATGAACTAAATATTAATCACAGAATGAGGTGTATTTCTATATCATGTAAAAAGTAGCATATAAATGCTTTTGAAACCTGCAATAATAAGTAAAAATTACATCTCTTCAACAAAAAGGAGGTATGAATGAAGACCTGCTGCCTTTCTCTTAGACAACAGGTAAGTTGCAAATTAATTACTGGTACTTTTAAGAGAAAGAATTATTTGTTCCAGTTGTCACCTCTGAGTTCCTAAAGTTCTGCTATGTGTTTTTCTCAATTCCTTCATGGTTAGTATCATTTTTTCTTGGCATGAAACAACAATAATAATGATGTATAAAATATCATTTTAAAATCTTTTGTTGGATCAAAAGACATGTAACCATTGAACCATTCTAAGGAAATAGAAGTGAATTTTATAAGTCATTGTGCTATTGGGTGTTTCTAGGTTTTTATAGCAAATAGCAAAGCCCAGATAACGCCAAACTATAAAAGTTTCCTACTTTATTTGGTTAGTATCGCACTAACTCAATTTCAGAGGCAAAAATGTTTATTTTTGTGTCCTATCTCATGAAGTTATTTCATGAATAAATTGAAATATTGTTTTAATTTGCAGATTAGAAATGTAATCTAGTGTCACTACATATATATTTTCAAATCGTTACCTGTTGAATTTTGAATATAGGAGCTCCTCCACCTCTTTTTTAATTTTAACTTTGCGTTTCCAAATTTTGTGAATGCAGATTTGCCCATCTTTTTTGATATAACTATCAAATAATCCGTGTCATCAATAAGAATTGTCTAGTTGAAAAATACAGAAAAAGCAAAATTAATCAGTTTTCAAGAAGGAAAATATATGAAGCTGAGTATATAAATAATTACATAGACATGGAAAGATACCAAATTAAGGAGTATCAACATTTTCCCCCCAGAAAGACTACTCAAAAAATTGCTTACCTGAAACATTTTACATTCAACATGAAAATAGCTTTGTTAAGTCCCTTTACAGAGAAAGACAAATTTTTTTTTCTACAAATTAGACTATCTGACTATGGAGTGTCAGTGAGAAAATTGCAATCCTTTGTACATGCTAACATTAACATCGGGACATAACCGAGAGAATTTGCTTTCAGGAAATACTCTAATTGTTCATTCTGAGACTTGGTATCAAGTGTTCTGAATAAGCTAAGTGTGCTATACCCATTGCATCACTAGGCCAGAGACTCTCTAAATTTCTAGCTTGAATTTTTTCACGGACTCTTCTTAAACAATGAGGAAAAATGTTATTTCTATTATTCAGTTTATATATTTTGACTATATGCCTTTTACATTTAATCGTAACTCCCGTGTAGCAATATTATGAAAATTAGCATAGTGATAAAATACAAAGTTTTATCAAAGATTCAAGTTTTAAGTAATTATATTTACATACGATAATTATGTGTTCAGTCTTTCTGTTTGTTATTATTGTAATTTTACCACCATGGCATATTAATTGAAACAATACACTACATTGCTACAGATACCTTTTAAAGCATTGCCCTTGTTACTTCAAAGTTTTTTCTTCATTGATGTGCTTCCTCTACTAGGCTGTAAATTCCTTGGAGTCACCTGTGTGTTACATTTGCTTTCAACAGACTGTCCATGTATGAGCACGTGCTGATCTGGGCTGCATTACTAGAAGACTCTAAGGGATATTAGAGAGTTAAAACAACTGTAAAAATACATAATCCAGGATTAATAACAAGACAAAAAGCAAAATAGTCTGATCTTTAGAAAGTACATTTTTGTGAATCATAATAGAACATTCTGACCATAAATAAACTTAAAAACTACTCTATCACTATGGTACTTCTTACCATATCAAGGTTTTCTAAATGGTCTTGAAATCAGCACAACGGCCTTGACTATATCCCAACAATTTCCTAATATTTTAACATGTATTTACAATGGAAAATACATTTTTTTTTTTTGAGACAGACTCTCACTTTGTTACCCTCGGTAGTGTGCTGTAGCATGATAGCTCATAGCAACCTTAAACTCTTGGGCTCAAGTGATTCTCTTGGTGTGACTACAGGCATCCACCACAGCGCCTGGCTCTTTTAGAGATAAGGTCTCGCTCTGGCTCAGGCTGGTCTCGAACTCAGTGAGCTCAGGCAATCCACCCACCCTGGCCTCCCAGACTGCTAGGATTATAGGTGCACCTGGCCTTAGAAAATACATTTTTAATATTCTCTCCAGAAATAGAAAATGACTATTGACTTTAAATGTAGATACATAATCATAAAAATTTGAATAAATGTTGATAGTCCCATAGGAAGTGTTTTGTTCTATGATACTCTTTTTCTTCCAGGAATGTTCTCTCTTTTATCTAGTTTGGAGTTGGCTTATTAATAGTAAATATTCATGGGCTTTCTAGATTGATAGAGTATACTAAATTAAAAATTGTTTTCTTTCATAGCTACATTTATCATGTGCCTCATAGTAGCCCTGTAACTTTCTTACTGCTCCTATCTGCATTAAACAAGGAACTTCATTTAGAGACATTTGTAGAGAAATTAATTATATGTTTGTGTCATTTTTGGCTTGAACTTAAATGTAATTTGCTGCCTACCAACAAAATCATTCGAATAGCAATGATGCTTAACAAAACATTGATTCTAAAAATAGATACCCAAATTCATTTATACCCTGAGAATCACTGTCATTTGAAATCTTAATCATCAGCAACTTTTAAACATTGTATGTTCTTCTTAATATTAAATAGCTAATGACTCCATCTATTAGACAAAAAAATTAACACACCATCAGCTCAAGACCAGCATCAGAGTTCAGAAATGTTAACTGTTAAGTAAATTCATTCTTTTATTTTTGGTTTGTTTATTTATTTATTTATTTATTTATTTTTTAGAGACAGAGTCTCACTTTATTGCCCTAGCTAGAGTGCTGTGATGTCACAGCTCACAGCAGCCTCCAACTCCTGGGTTTTTTAGGCGATTCTCTTGCCTCAGCCTCCTGAGTAGCTGGAACTACAGGCACCCGCCACAACGCCTGGCTATTTTTTTGTTGCAGTTTGGCCGGGGCCGGGTTTGAACCCACCACCCTCGGTATATGAGGTCGGCACCCTACTCACTGAGCCACAGGTGCCACCCTCACTATTTCATTTTTAAAAGAAAGAACACTCTAGTAGAGTTTTGAGCTTAGGGAGAATATAATTAAAGCACATTCAAAAATATAAATGTGTGTATCAAAAGGTGATGGACTTAAAATATTCTTACAGTCATTCAGATGTAGGAAGAAATGCTCTTAAGATTATAAACTTCAATAACAATCAGGAGTTTTCAAATATATGTGTTTAGGAAAATGCAGATTCTGTACATAGCATGACATAAAAAAAAAGTCTAAGTGTCTTTCAACTGTTTCAAACACCTTGAATTCTTAAGACCTTTCTGGGTTTTTAAAAACTAGCCATTTTCTTCAGTCTAAACATAGGGAAATAAGCCATAATAATAGGCATTTGAGGACATAAACAGACTCGATGTTTCTTGATGCCGTCCCTCTCTGTGTCCCCCTCACACATTTGTCCAGTGATGCTCATTCACAGTGCTTCTCTCTCACGTAAAATTTGCTTCGGTTTTTCTTAAGTTGCTGCGCTATCAACAAATTTTCAAGCGTCCTACTTATACTGCTTGTAATTTCATATGTATAGCTTTTGTCATTATGGAATTATTCTAATATTTAATTAGGAAAAATTAAAAAATAAACCCAGAATATTAATTTCTTCCAGTAATAGAAGACTCACCACTAGTTTTGAGAAAACTCCACACTAACCCTAACGACAGTTAGGACTAACTGTTGAATACCTAACTTATACAACTGTATTTCAGCCTTGGATTAAGGATTCCAATGTGATATAATCAATTAGTAAATATGTACTGAAAACTAGGTATGTGGAAAAAACAGATGAAGGGAAAAAATACTCTTTCTTTCTGTCTCACTCCACTCTGCTTTTTATTTACAATTGTACACATTTTTTTCTTACTATGCAGCCTAATTTCTTCTCCAGTTAATGCTTTTCCCTTCGTTTGTTTTCATAAGAAACCAGAAAACATTGTGTCACTATTGACTCCTGCAGGACGCAAACATTTTAGAAGCAACACCAATTTGAAGAGAGGCAGGAGAAAGGGATTTGTTTCAAGGCCACAGTACATTTCTCTGTGGCAGGTTCTGCTTGGTGGGTAGGGCTCAAGATTTCCAATGTTTAACGTCCCTGGGTGTAAGATTTTCATTCTGGTGCTCTGAAGTGAAGGTCAGAGCATCAAAGGTACTAATGTGTTTAGCAAAAGGGCCATATTTGGATTTTGTTTCTTGTAACTATTTTAGACATAGCATTCAACTTTGTATACTTTTTTTATAAAAAGGAATTTTTAAAGACTATGCTATTACTTTTCTCAAGTTTGTGGAAATAACTTTTTGAAATATATTTCCTTTTGTACGTCCATTGTTTAAAAATTCTAACCTTACTCAAATGAAGATCAACTTTTCAAAAGCTACATGAATAGGACTGGAGGTCATTCTATTAAGTGACATAACCCAAGCCCAGAAAGACAAATATCGCATGTTGTTATTTTTATGTGGAAGCTAAAAAGTGGATCTTACAAAGATCGGAAGGAGATGGGTGGTTACCGGAGGCTGGGAAGGTGGAGCAGGGGGAATGAAGAGAGCTTGGTTCATGGGCCAGATACACAGTTAGATAGAAGAAATAAGACCTGGTGTTTGATAGATAAGTACGGTGACCGTAGTTTACAGTACCTGATGTATATTTCAAATTAACTAGAATAAATGATTCAGATCTTCTAGCATAAAGAAAAGACAATTATATAGGTGATGGATATCACAATTACACTAACTGGATATTTACAAATTATATGTATGTATTAAATTATCACATGTATCCTGAAATATATACATTTATTATGTATC